ATATATATATATATATTACAATATATAAATTAAATATTTATTTTATATAATATAAATCTGTATTAAATAATTTATAGCGCTTACTCCTCCAGTTTTTCTCCACAATCCTGTGAGATGGTTGAGAAACATGACTGGTCCAAAATAGTAAAATTCTGAGGTTAAAGGTGGACTAGAACCTGGGTCTCCTCACTCCTAGTCTAATACCTTGAGCATTGCAACATCCCGACTTTCATAAATTTGCAGGCAACTGACATCTGAATTGCAAGATTTAGGACTTTCCAGACTCCTGCTCATTCAGGACACCAAACTAAAGGTTACCAATTGCTATTTGTACTGAGCTGATGATATAGCAACCCTGTGAGCTGACTATACCAAGCATCTGTTTCCTTACAATGATGAATGCATTCTGATTGGAACAATGAATATATCAACTGATGCTCACGGTCACTTCATTGGCTAAATTAATTTGTTGTGTTACTTCTCTTTGATAATATGATTTATATGTGCCAAAGTTGGTTAGCTAGTGCTTTAAGTGTTTATGTGGTAACCAAACATGAGCTTCCCCATATCCTTTCTCATTCTACCATCCTATCTCATTTCATTTCAGAAACAGATGTGAACACATTTTGGGAAAAGATTAGCATGATTATCTTGGATTCTGAACTAGCAATGGATATCAAGTATTCTTCTGCAGTCCCAGGACTTGCTCAGTATCTCCAGAGCATCACCAGGCTCTTCACATCTATGTGTTCAGTGACTGCAGAACCTAGATTTGCGAACCGGAATTTACTTACTAAAAATAATATACTGAATCCATGTTTGTCAGTTGAATACCTGCTGCATTCAGACTTTTATGAAGTACGTTTATTGGTCTTAGAAACAATCCTGCTATGGTTGAATCAAGTGAATGCAAAACATGTGATGGAAGAAAGAGGAAACATTCTGTTGAACCTACTGTCTGGCTTGGAGGAAACACTTATTAAGATAGCTATTAAGGAAAAGCATCCTGAATGTTTTTGCAAGGTGATAACCTATTTTTTCTTTTCCTTTGGTGCAAATCAGTTACATATAATAAGAACTTCAAATAAAATTAATTTTTGTGCTGGTCTATGACCATAATAAACTATTCTCTCTTTCTTTCTCTCTCTCAAACTAAGTTGCAGTTATTTATTCCAGGTAGGGTCAGAACAGTATTTCCTGCAGCTAATCTTTTTTTCTGTAATAGATATTAGAGGCTCTGTATAAAATGGACCTCAGAAATGTGCTTGCGAAGACGGAAGATGCTGTAAAAATGAATCAGAGAGAGTTCTTGCTTTGGATTATGAATATTGCAAATACTTCTAGCAGGTATACTCTCTTGTCTTTTTATGTTTTGCTAATCTATATTTACTGGTTGCAGACTGCCCAATAAAAATGAACTTTGATATATAAGGGGAAAACATTATTTCATAATCTTGTTAACTGTAATTTTATATCTGTATCTATAAACTCTTAGTGACTACTCTCTATGTATTAGCTTCCTTAAGTTTTGAAAAGCAAAGTAATACTTTAGAAGAAAATTATTACTGAAATGTTCCTTCCTCATTGCTTTGGGGGAGGAGATCTGAATTTTAAAGTTAAAAATTAGCTGGACTGATGCTGAGCAGATACAAGAACTTTATCATAAATTGATTATTGGACTTGTTGAATTGTAAAAGAGTGGTCATTTTTCAATTTATTTTTTCAATTTGTACCTTTCCTCTCCATCCATATACAGTTCAGTACAGACAATTATTAAACAATTAAAAACCTAGTTAAAATGGCAGCTAAAGTCAATACTTTGAAGTCTCTGGCTGGATCACACAAAATGTCAGCTGGAAAATCTAGAGAGAAAACATCTCTAAAAGAGTTTCAAATTTCTTCTATGAATTAGAGAATAAGCAATTGTGTAAAATAAAACTATTTGGGCATTGTTACAGATTTTATTGAGATTTGTAGACTTGATCTTCAGAGGAAACATATCTAAAACATTGGTTGGGTAAAATTCAGAAACAGAAGTAGCAGATAATGAGAAGTCTAGAAAAGGGCCAAGAAAATTATTGAAGTTCATTCCTAACTCTTCATTAATCCAGAAAAACATAGACGTGTGGCCAGTTTACAAACCAATTATTAGAAACTACAGTATTTAAACATTTTCAGGACCTAGCACATGGATAGTTCCATGTATTCAAGGCACATCCTTCTCATGCATAGGACAAATAATTGCTTGTTTACTTATGCTTTCTCATGAGCAGCCATGAAAAATTGAATTAGATCAATCTTCATCCTGGATTCAGGATGAAGAGCAATATGCTTATCTAACAAAACCTACCTCTACCTGGTGCTCTCCAGATGCGTAAGAATTACATCTCACAATTATCATGCTAGTTGGGAATTTGGGGGTTGTAGTTATTAAATATTTGGAGGGCAACAAATTAGATAGGGCTTGTGTAATAAATGAGCAGGAAGTATTTTCAGCCAAATTGTCTGTTGGCTGTGACACTATTCTTATTAAACATTTAATTTGGTGTATCTGTGTTAATGTTTATTTTTACAGCATTGAAATTCAAAGCATATCCCTTAAATTTGCCTCAAAGTTACTCATATATCTTGTACAAAACTGGCAGGAGGTAAGGAAAATTAATTTACCAAATGTTTGTTCACTTTTGTTACGATTAAAAGCACACATAATAAATACAAAATTTCTTTCTGTAGAATAATCTTTAAACATATTCATTTTGTTGAAGCGTTTAAGGTAGTTGATTCATGTATAAACAACCTGAGATTAGGAATGCAGCCCTACCATAACAATATGCTGAGGAAGGTTTCTGGATTGTTCTAGTGTAAATTTTTGAAGAACTTTAGAAGAAAAGTTGTCTTAGCTTTTTATCTCTTACAAATTAATTTTTAATTGCTAATATGATTTAATTTTTTTTTGTTACCACTAAAATTCCAGTTTTGGATTGTTGCACAAAATGATTTATTTTTTCTTCTGTGGAAGTTGGAAAGGCTGAATATTCATTATAGCTTATTTTTATTTATTTATTATTTAAATTTATAAGCTGCCCATCTCATATACAGTATATGACTCTGGGCAGCTTACAAACAATTAAAACAAATACAAAAAACAATTTAAAAAGAACAATACAACAATTTAAAAACAAGAAAAAATATAAAAGCATATAAAAATTTCATAAATACATAAAACTCACAGCTGAGTAATCCCATTCATCAAAACAATCAGTACAGCCACTTCACTGGTTCCACCACATTCCTGGGTCCCCATGTCCATTGGCAAACGATGTCTTCAGGGCTTGCGAAAAGCCAGCAGGGTCAGAGCCAATCTGATCTCCGTGGGGAAGATGTTCTATGGGATGGGTGCCATGGCAGAAAAGGTTCTCTTCCTGGGTCCTGCCAGACAATACTCACTGGCTGGCAGAGCCTGCAACATGCTCCTCCTGCTGGACCTGATAGGACAAGTAGATGTAATGGAGGAGAGGAGGTCCCTCAAGTAACCTACTCCCTGGAGTACTTTATAGGTTAAAACCAGCACCTTGAATTGAACCTAGAAGCAAACTGGCAGCTAATGCAGCTCATACAGCAGAAATATAATGTGCACAGATTGTGGAGCATGCATGACTGCCTATACAGCTGCATTTTGAACCAGTTGAAGCTTCTGCATACTCTTCAAGGGCAGCCCCATGTTTAGTCAATGTTGAAAGTGCTATCCTTCCTCCTCAAAACCACCAGGTCCTAGTATATAATGTAAATGTTGTAAATTTTTAGCAGTTTTTTGTTTTGTTTTGTTTTTTATTTTTTAGTGCCTTTGAGTCATTGTTGACTCCTAGTGACTGCCTGCAGTTTTCTTGGCAAGATTTTCAGAAGTGGTTTGTTACTGCTTTCTTCTTAAGGCTGAGAGAGAGTGACTGTCCCAAAGTCACCCAGCTGGTTTTGTTCCTAAGGCAGACCAAGAACGAATGGTTTCATGCTTTCTAGCTTAGGGCCTTTAACCACTACATCATCTGGTTCTCAGCAATTAATTTACAAGACCATTAATTTGGGTGGTAGAATTGTGCAATGCACACAATTCTGATTTCACTATTTAATTTATTTATTTATTTATTAATCAAATTTATATGGCCACCCATCTCACGAAAAGTGACTCTATTGATAGCTATTGCAGTGGCTTTAATGGCAGTACTGATTGTTTTATAGGACTTGGAGTCAGAGATAAAACAATGGCTTGAATTAATTAGTTATTGCTGTGAAGATGAACAACAAACAGATCTGAGATTGGCTGCTGCAGAGATTCTTGTGAGCACTACACCATTTTTCCTGACTGATCAGAAGCTTCTCTTGGGTAAGTAATTAGGCAAAGCAAATAAGCAAAAGTTACAGATTTTTCACTCTCGTTGAATAGAGCATAACAATAAAACACACACTGAAATTTGTTCAACCAAATCTGCATAATTTGTGTTTGCTTCTTGATTAAGGTGCTTCTGTGTTACTCAAGGTGGTGGTGATCATGTTTAGAATCCTTCACGATTTGGGGTAGTTATTTGTGGGACTGCTTACTCCAGGTAGAATCTGCTTGCCTAAGACATGCTTGCCAGGAATTCCCACTCTATGTGAGGTGCAGTGGGAGGAGATTCAGAGACAGACATTTTCTGCAGGAGCTCCTCTCTTGTGGAATGCCATATCACCATATGTAAGATCTGTGCTTTTACTCATTTTTTAAAATTTATTTTTCCCTTTATTTTATAATAATAACAAAAAAAGAGGAAAGTAAAAAGGATGAAATGCAAAGATACGTACATTATATATATAAAAAAGATTACATACAAAATGCTTAAAAAAATAAGTGGGAAAAAATACAACAAAAATAATTTTATATAT